GGGGGGGGGGGGGGCAGGCTCTGTGCCGGCCCTGAGGCTCGGGGTGCCAGGCCTGTGGACACAGGGGCCCTTTTGGCCCTCCCTGTCCCTGTGGGCCCCTGCCCAGCCCCCCATGGGGGGCAGGGACCAGTGTAGGGGGCCCTGGCAGGCGGCCCTCATGTCTCCCTGCCCAGTGGTGGGCCCAGGGAGAGAGGTCCCGGGCGGGGTGGGGACGCGAGGGGTGCCCGCCGCGTCAGAGGGACAGCCAGGGGCAGGGCCAGCTGGTATTGAATCTGTGACCCCCACTGTCCGGCTGCCCCCAGTACCAGACGGAGTGCATCAGCGGGTGCGTGTGCCCTGAGGGGCAGATGGATGACGGCCGCGGGGGCTGTGTCACGGAGGATGAGTGTCCGTGTGTGCACAACCAGGACCTGTACAACCCCGGGGACAAGATCACAGTGGACTGCAACACCTGGTGAGTGGCCTGGTCTGGCTGACCCAGCCCCTAGCGCTCGGGGGGAAGCTTGTCCTGGAAAACAGGCCCGGCCTGGGGCCCCCTCCCCTTGGGGCCAGCCTGGGTCTGCAGGGCTCTGTGCCCCCCACCCCCACTGGCTGGCAGGGCCCTGGCCCGAGTAGGGGTGCTGGGCGGCATTTTGGGGTTGACCGGGGCCTGTAGGTGACGTGCCCGGTGAGCTGTCCACACAGCGCTTGGGAGCTTGGCAGGGCTGCCCCCGGAGCGGCGGCGGGAGGACCTGGGCCCTGCAGCCCCTCAGGCCCCTCTCCCACTCTCCTCAGCACCTGCCAGAAAGGGCGCTGGGCCTGCACCCACAACATGTGCCACGGCACCTGCACCGTCTACGGGAGCGGTCACTACATCACCTTCGATGGGAAGTTCTATGACTTCGATGGGCACTGCTCCTACGTTGTCGCTCAGGTGAGGCCGAGGGCACCTCCAGGACCTGCCCGGCTCCCTGTCCCCGCTCTGCTGGCCCTGGGGATGGCCGTGGGGGCTGTATCTGCCCAGGGAAGGGCCTGGTCGGTCAGGGCCGGCCCTTCCTCTTCCCGATCGTCCTGTGGCCCTCCCTGGGTGCACAGGGGTGTGTGGTGCACAGGGAAGGAGGGGCACGTGGGGGGCAGTTAGGGCACTTCTGGACAGAGGAGGGGCTGAGGCTCAGTGGGGGTGGCGGGTCTGGGCACCTCTGCCCAGCTGGCTCAGCTCACGTCCCCTGCGGGCCCCCAGGACTACTGCGGCCAAAACTCCTCACTGGGCTCCTTCAGCATCGTCACCGAGAACGTCCCCTGTGGGACCACAGGCGTCACCTGCTCTAAGGCCATCAAGATCTTCCTGGGGGTGAGTGCTGCTCAGCCCGGGGGGCGGTGAGGTCTGGGAGAACCTGGATCCAGCCAGTGACCGGCGTCTCCCTTGGGCACAGAGGACGGAGCTGAAGCTGGAGGACAAGCACCACACAGTGATCCACCGCGACGTGGGCCACCACGTAGCCTACACCACGCGGGAGGTGGGCCAGTACCTGGTGGTGGAGACCAGCACCGGCATCATCGTCATCTGGGACAAGAGGACCACCATCTTCATCAAGCTGGCCCCCTCCTACAAGGTGCGTGGCTGCCCCTGCGGCCCGCCTGGCCCCGCCGGCCCCCCTCCTGGAGCGCCTCCGGGAAACCTTTGCGCGCCTGTGTCCACAGGGCACCGTGTGCGGCCTGTGCGGGAACTTCGACCTGCGCTCCAGCAACGACTTCACCACGCGGGACCACATGGTGGTGGAAAGCGAGCTGGACTTCGGGAACAGCTGGAAGGAGGCCTCCACCTGCCCGGACGTGACCACCACCCCTGAGCCCTGCACCCAGAACCCGCACCGCCGCTCCTGGTCCGAGAAGCAGTGCAGCATCATCAAGAGCGACGTCTTCGCCGCCTGCCACAGCAGGGTGGGTGGAGCCACGAGCGTGGCAGGCGTGGCTGTGGCCGTGGCCACGAGCGTGGGGGGGACGGCGTGGCTGGGCATCCTCTGCGCCCGCTCTGTGTGCGCTCCGGGGGGAGCTGTTCTGCGGAGTCACCATGAGGCACATGTCCTCCGGCTTCATCTCCGTCCTCTGTGTCCTTTGGCCGCGGGACCAGATGTGAAACCTTCCTTCTGAGACCCCTTGCTGGACCCCCAACCTCCTGTACCTTCCAGGGAGGGGGGAAGGACACATAACCCCCTAACATCCAGACAGTGCTCAGTCCAGGCAGTGGCAAGGGCCAAGCAACAGGTGTGCACAGCCAGGGGTGCCCCTCCATCTCTGGGCCGCCTCCGTC